TTCTCGATCCAGGAGATCAGATCGATAGGCAAAACAGTTTATGGAGCAGTCCAACTGCCCTTCAGCAACACTTCAGTCACCCACCATCTTCAGTTAACCTGAATGGTAAGTTGATGTAGGCCCTCCGACTCTTAATGAGGTTGAAAATGCTATAGGCAAGCGAAGGAGAACAACAGGTGCTGACAGAATCATCCCTGAGATGTTTTAGGATATAGTGGTCCAGTTCCAGCAGTTAGATTGAGTGAGATCTTAGGTAGGATCTGGGAACTGGGCGTAATCCCATCTGACTGGTCTCAATCCCTTGTTGTCCCAGTCTACAAGAAAGGACAAAAGTCCTCTTGTGACAATCACAAAGAAATCAGTATAACTAATGTAGTGTCTAAATTGTTAGGCATACCTGGACCTTAGGTGGCATTTGACTCAGTGGATCGTCAGGTTCTGTAGCAGTGTCTGTCATTGAAAGGTGTAACGAAGAAGCGCGCTGACCTTATACAAGCTCTCCACATGAACACTACTGACTGAGTCAGAGCTTATGGCGACATGTCATCGGAATTGATTAATTCAAGTGGTGTTCGTCATGGTTATACACTTGCCACATTCTTATTCAATTTTGTCACGGACATGCTTTAAGAAACGACACTTTCATTGTCTGACTCTTCACGGATTGGCCTGCTACCAGGAGACTCACTTGTTGACTTAGAATATGCCGATGACATAGTTCTATCTGGTGAAGACGCTGGCAAGATTAAAAGTCTTTTGACCACCCCAAGCAACAATACAAGCATGTTTGCTGTGTAGTAGCTCGCTCCGTCCTACTTTATGGGCGTGAAACATCGCCATAGATGATATTAATAGGTCACTGTTATTCGTCCACAGGTGTCTTTGAAGGATTGTCGGTGTATCCTCGGATCATCGAGTAACAATTATTTGTGTCAAGAAAAGAGTACTGGACAAGGATGGCGAATCCACTGGTAAGTAGTGAATCTTCATAAAGTGAGGTGGTTCTGACTTGTATTACCTATGCCTAATCACCGAATGCCCAGACGCGCGATGTTTTGTGTTGTAGGAGTAGTCTGGAAGAAGATCAAGGAGCGTCCAGACCAAAACATGGCAGAAATTCAGGAATTCATTAACAAGTGGACTGAGCCATGTTGGTAAGTTTAGACTACTTGGTTTGGTTCCTTGTGACAATAGTAACGGGTGGTCAGAGACTTTGAATGACATGACTTTGATGGAGTTTCGTTCTCCACCTTAAACATCCATCTCAGCTAGACAAAAAATAACACGATAAACTATTTGACTGCTAGTAGCTATGTCAATGTCATGCGGTGAAAAAGGTGAACTCTGCATTTGTTATATAGCATAAATACTTCAAGAAGGTGTCCTTTGTTTATTAGAATTTTAGAATGATTAGTTAGAATATATCATGTGAATAAAATTGTGATCAGAAATTCGTTTGAATTGATAAAGCTGGGAGAGTACATTAAGTATGTAGCAGAGTAGATATAAACATGATAGTAAATTGGGGAGAGTAAGAGGTTTTACAATCTCCAATCTATGTATATATAGTGATCCAATTGTTGACAAAGATAAACACAAAAAGTTGAATCAAACTCTTCTGCATACATGGGTTAGGTCTTCTGGAATTGATCCTGATGACTTCAGATAAACTGGGAAGTTGTGATCTTTCTCTTCTTAGCAGATTGTTTGGAACGTGATACAAAACAGAAAACACTTCATCTATTTTTATGTGATGTTCACTATCTATGTCAAAGTTTATTCTATTTAGCTGTTCTGATACAAAATTTTTAAGGAAGTTTTCCTGATAACCATTATATCTTAGTTATCTGGGTCATCACTTTCATCATTCTCAAAAGTTAATATGCTGATTCTATGACTGAAACATTAAACCAATTTTATTGATACTGAAATGGAACGAAGTTCTGACCAGTTCTAATTATCAACTACTGAGTATTAGTAAGTATTATAGATAATATACAACAATTTATGGTAGCAAACAGAATTAACAAAATGAAAGCATTGTTCATTAACATGTGGACGAGAAAAAAATGGTTAATATGTCCTGCGAGAATCTAAATCCGTTTGATTAAGTAACACCTCAATATCAAAAATAAAATCTGAAGATCTAAGATCTGAAAAGCAAACTTTCAAATGTAATAAACTGGACTTTTGAAAAACCTTTCAGTTCAAATTTTCCCTTAATAAAGATTAGTGTTGCTGATATTCCCAGAACTAATTAATTGAATTCATAATGTATAAGTATGTTTTATTATGTTGAGTAAGACGTGTTATATCTGATAGGAAAACTAACCGGTCATGTCGATCATTGTATAAAATGAAGGTGAAAATTAAAAAACTATCGTTTTTTTAGCCCAATAGTGTTGAACAACAGTAAAAAGGTCAGCTAAAGAACTCAATGTAATGGTTTCCATTCTGTTTGTGTGTAGACTAATAATTATATTACATGTCTGGTTAGTTCACTGTGAAATCTGGTTTATTCTAATATTGTTGAGACGACACAGCATTGCAAGATAGGAAATCACCTTGGTACCTAGAAAAATATCTTTTAGAAACTACGTGAACCCTTTGCTTAAATTTCATGCTGCGTAAAAAGATGTTGGATGGTACAGAATATGTGTTTCAATCACAGAATCAGCATATTAACTTTTGAGAATGGTGAAAGTGATGACTCAGATAACTTAAAGAATGTACTAAGAAATAATGGTTATCAGGAAAACTTCCTTAAAAATAATGTATCAGAACAGCTAAATAGAATAAATTTTGACATAGATAGTGAACATCACATATAAAAGTGAAAGATCACAACCTCCCTATTTATCTGAAGTCATCAAGATCAATTCCATAAGACCTAACTCATGTATGCAGAAGAGTTTGATCCAACTTTTTATGTTTATCTTTGTCAACAACTGGATCATTATATCCCTAAATTGAACATTGGGATCATTGATAATGTTAAAATAAAACTATGCATTTTTATCTAGTCGTCACATGGCAAGTTAGTACAGGTGAACAATCATCAGAATTATGTTTAAGTATTGAGATGGTAAAAATAGGGTGATTTTATCGAATACTAAAGTTAACTTTTCAAATCATACAAAATAGATGAATTATCTATTTGTCTAAGTAAAGCTGGATTAAGGCAAGACAAATATAATATTAAATATTTGTATTACGGGGTTGTTAATATTGTTAAGTTTTTTTAAAACCATGAATCGATCAATGTTAGACCACCATTAAAAACCTGGAAGCACTGGGCCTCAGCAGTGCGCACCCACGACTCCTGCACCCCACAGGATCTGAACCCAGGACCTTCGGTATTGTAGGCAAACGCCTAACGGTGGTCTAACATTGATCGATTCATGGTTTCAAAAAAACTTAGCAATCTTCACAACCCTGTAGTACAAATTACCTGTGCTCACTAGTGACTAGCTTGGTGAGGAATCTTCTCCGAGTTCTAGTGAGAAGACGTGACTAGTGAAGTTCAACCTGTTCGGGTGTAGATAGTAACTACCGAAGACTGTGTATGAGGTTGCGCAACTCCATGAATTGATCTGAGTTATACATTAACACCATTATATACCGGCTCAGTGGTCCGATGGTTAGGCGTTTGCCTACAATACCGAAGGTCCTAGGTTCGAATCCTGCGGGTTGCAGGAGTCATGGATGCGCATTACCACTGATGAGTCCCATACCAGGACGAAACGGCCGTCCAGTGCTTCCACGTTTCTAATGGTGCTCTAACATTGGTCGATAAATATTAATTATGTTAACTGAAGCGGGAAATTTGTGAAGAAATCACCAATAGAATGTTCATTTTAGTAAGCCCTCTTTTCATCTGGATATTTATCGTTCCTTTTGAAGTAACTGACTTTTTTCTAGGAGATTCTTACTCATCCACTAATATCATCATATGAAACATAGTCAATGTGTTATTGTCACATTGAACAACTTAATGACCATTCATCATTTATATACAAATTGTGGTAAAGTAATTCCATTTTTTTTGTAGACAAGTGAGTAGTAGAATGATGGAATTGTAGTGTAGACATCGATAAAGCAATGTAATTTATGAGCAAAAAATGAAAAAAAATAAAATAAAATGTACTTTCACCGCACCGATTTAGATCAATTATTGTATGCTAAAAAAATAGTAATAATAATCATAATCATATTAATTAAAAATTTCACCTGAAATCTATCATTTCAAATGAATGAATGATATGATTTTGAAATTTGTACAAAATAATTCAATGAATATTGAATAGGTTAGAATCCAGTAAGAATCGAGTACCTTTAATCAATCCATGTGGATAGTTATGCACATATATAGTATAGTGAATTAGTTTTTTCGTTTGTTAGTTTCTGCTTCAATTACAGTTCATGTATGTGATTTTGTAAACTTGTACTATTACATTACATTACATTACAAATTAAAGGTTGTTAATGAATTGAATATTGAACAGTAATACCAACATTAAAAAAAAAAGAAAAAATAAACTGACAACAAAAATAAATTTAAAAAAAAAAAACCATCTGGGACACCATGTGGTTATTAGATCAATCAGAAATTTGTTAATTTTAATGTATATTTCATCATTATGACAATAATCTCAAAGAGAACATTACTTTTCATTGGTTACCTTAATGATATAAATTAGTATGTAATGAAAATACTCAACATTTTAATAAATCTCTCTTATTCTGTGAACTAATAAATGCATAATAACATTTTTTTGAATTTTGGAATTTCAAAAAATCTTCACATTCAATTATCGCGCTCTATAAATGTTGTAATATTCAAACAATATAACTATTGTCTATTGAATATTATTCATTGAATAATTAAATTATTATTTTTTTTTTCAACTTTCTCCTAATCAACTACTCATAATAAGTATTTTGTTTAAATTCAAAAGATAAAACACAACACAAACACACTCTAATCATTCATGATAATAATGTTAACCAATAACTGTAAACTAGTCAGAATCCGTTATCATCATGTTATATTATTATTATTACTATTATTATTAACTTTTATCAATCATGTGAATTCATCAAATCAAGAAGAGATTGTTGTAGCGAAATGGAAATTCAATGAATTCGAAATACATATCACTGTGATGTTATTTTTATTAGCTGTAGTATTCATTAAAATAGCTTATCATTATATACCATATGTATCGTCATATGTTCCAGAATCATTTATACTTATTCTCATTGGAATTGTATTCGGCGCCATTGTACGTTATGGCATTGATCAAGGTTCAACAAAAATTACATCATGGAAATTTACACCAGAAATATTTTTCAATTATTTACTACCACCTATTATATTAGAATCAGCTTATGGATTATATAATCGTACATTTAGTGAATATCTTGGCACAGTGATGTTATTTGCTGTATTAGGTACAATTTTTAATTTTTTAATTATTGGATTTGTTATGTATGGTTTATTTATTGGCGGTGCATTTGGTTATCCAGAGATTACAGTTGATTTAAGCAGTTTTCTACTATTCAGTTCATTAATTGTTGCAATAGATCCTGTGGCTGTATTAGCTATATTTCAAGATATAGGATTAGAATTAAATTTATATTATATAGTTTTTGGTGAATCTTTGTTGAATGATGCTATCACTGTTGTGCTGTATGAAATAATGATTGCATTTACTGGTAAAGAAAATATAACCGGTGAACAAATCGGTATTGGGATTGCATCATTTTTCACTGTAAGTTTTGGTGGCCTATTGATCGGTGTGGTATTTGGTGTGTTAACATGTTTAATCACACGGATTCGTAGTCATCTAGCTATATTCACAATGTTATCTTTGGCATATTTCTCCTATATCATGGCTAATTGTATTGGTTGGTCCGGAATTATATCAATGATTGCATGTGGTCTTATACAAACAGCTTATGCATTTCATAATGTCGATGCACAAACACGTATCACTGTGCATAATTTTGTTAGAGTTGTTGCAGAAATTAGTGAATCAGTTATATTTCTATTCTTAGGTATTGCAGTTATTGGTGAAACATTAAAATGGCATACAGGTTATATTTTATGGGCAATGGTAATTTGTTTAATAGCTCGTGGTATTGTTGTATTATTAATGACATCTATAGTGAATATAATCAATGTAGATGATATAAAAATTACACTAACTGAACAAACTGTTCTAATTTATGGTGGTCTACGTGGTGCTGTAGCATTTTCATTGGCTATTTTAATTCCACCCGAGATTTTAGGCAAAAATGGTGAAGAGAATCAAAGTTTAATTGTTACCACAACATTATTTATTATATTATTTACAGTTGGTGTAATGGGTATTACAATTAAACCATTAGTGAAAGTATTAAAAATACGTATGGAAGATAAAAAGAAATTAAGTTTATTCAAAGCTTTAAATGATAATGTACTGGATGAAATGTTATCAGGCATTGAAGTGATCATTAATTGTAAACGTCGTAATGTTATAAGAGATTTCATTAAACGTATTGATGAGAAATATATTCGTAGAATATTACAACGTAATCCAGAACATTATAATGAGAAATTATTTAAAATTTATGAAAAAATCTCCTTACGTTTACATTATGCTGCAATGCGTCCAAATCAATCGAAATGTTTATTAACTGATTTACCCGAATCGATTACATATAAATATTTGACAAATAATTTATTAACAGGACAAAATAATATTATTCATGTCAATCATACTACTTATGATAATAATAATAATAATAATAATAATAATAATAATGAACCACTAAGAACTAGTCATAGTTCAGCAATAGAAATATTCAATAATGCTTCTATTGATTTCAATGCTACGAATAACAATGTCAATAATCATAATCAACAGAGAAAATGTTTCAAGAAAAGAAAACCGTTCTTCAAAATTCATAAATCTAATGACACAATCGATGAACAAATGGAACAAGGTGATATCATCAATCAATCAATCAACAACGATAATCATCATCATCATCATCATCATCAACAACAAACTATGACATCAAATAATCCATCACCGAATACAACAACTACATTAAGACATCACAGACGACAACCAATATTACCGAATATTAGTGAACAACAAACAGATTTCAATGATCAATTTTTAAACATTTTAAAATCACGTAATTATGAATTAATGTCAAAATTAACAAAACCATCATTACCTAAACTGTCTGCAGTTCCAACACCAGCTACACTAGAAACATTTACATCTGGAACACTACCTCATTCTTCATCAGTAATACCAAGGAATAATGCTTCATCAAGTAATGTTAAAATGTCAGAAGAAAAAGATGATCAGGAACATGGACAACAACCATCTAGACAGTCAGAGTACCCTATTCAAACAATCATACAAGATAAACGTCATAAAACTCATTTTACATAACTTCTCACTTTGAAATTATTTTGTACCAATCGATAGATATGCTGACAATAGGTTGTCAGCATGATTTTCTATTCATTTTGATCTTGTAATTTTCATTGTGTTTCATGTTCATATTTCATTAGTGATTGTTGATTAGTTGATGAAAATTTTGTGCTGATTGTAGTCGCTGTTATTATTATCAATGAATGAATGGAACTTTGCTTAACCCACTAGTATTATACTATTCGGCACTTGCTATGAAAGCTTAGTTCAGACCATTTGCAATTAGATAATTTTTTTGTTTCAATGCAATATTCATAAACTCACATTAATTATAAGACTAATGATCACAATGTAACTAACTAAAAAGACTAATTGAACATGACACATTGATTACTCTGTTCAATGAATGATCAATCAATTGTGAAGCTTCATCTAAACTCATTAATTAAATCTCAAAACAAAATAAACAAACAAAAAAACACCGACATCTATTTGGCATTCAATATTCAGTTATTATATGTTATGATGTTCATTTGAATAATTGTACAAAGAGATTATCTACTGTTACATTGATTTCGTCTTAAGCATTAAACTATTTATTGTCACAAGCAACACAACACAAAGTTCCCTTCATCTTTAATTCAGTTGATATCAAAAAACAGTATTGTTCAATTTAAACATTGTCAAAATAAAAAGTTTTGTTATTTTGTGAGTAAAATTTACAAAAACTACAAAATGATTGTATGAAGGAAAGAAGTAATCTTAAGATAGGTACTATTTTAATAGTTTAATCCATTGAGTTAAAAATTACTTACTTACTTACTTAATTACACATGTTACCCCCAATCGAGCATCGGCCACCCACCAGTTTTCTACTACCTACTCTGTCCTGAGCTGCCCTTTCTAGTTCTGTCCAATGTTTGTTCATTCTTCTCATATCATTCTCTATTTCTCGGCGTAATCTGTTCCTTAGCCTTCCTCTTTTCCTTCCAACTTGAGGGTTCCATGTGAGGGCTTGTATTGTGACGCAGCTAGGTGTTTTTTGCAGTGTGTGTCCTATCCAATTACACCACTTCTTCCTGATTTCCAACTTCAATGGAATCTGGTTTGTTTCCTCTCAAAGTAAGTTGTTGCTGATCGTGTCTGACCAACGAATCCACAGTATTTCGCGAAGACAACCGTTCATAAATACTTGTATTTTCTGGATGATGGATTTGGTAGTTCTCCAAGTTTCCACTCCATACAGTAGATCTGTCTTGACATTTGTATTGAAAATGGTGATTTTGGTGTTAATTGATACTTGTTTGAAGTTCCAGATATTTTTCAATTGTAGGAATGCATCCCTTGTTTTGCCGATTCGCGCTATCACATCTGCATCGGATCCACCTTTCTCGTCGATGATGCTGCCAAGATTTGTAAAGGTGTTATCGTTCTCCAAAGAATCTCCATCAAGCTTGATTTGGTTTGTGCATGTTGTGTTGCATCGGAGAATTTCGCTTTTCCTTTTATGTATGTTGAGACCTACTGCTGCAGAGACTGCTGCTACACTGGTTGTCTTCTCTCACATTTGTTTTTGCGTGTGAGATAGAAGAGCCAGGTAATCTACGAAGTCCAGATTGTCCAGCTGCGTCCTAGCTGTCCACTGAATACAAATATTGAAATCAATCAAGAGAGGTGAATTTTAAGCATAAGAAAGAGAAAAACAAAAATTTGTTTGTACATGAAATTATCATTGACATATGAACTTAAATATACAGTTTATTGACATTTTAATCAGTGTATTTTTAAGATATTAACAAACTCTTAAACGAATAGATATACACTCAATGAAGTGATTTATTACACAATTTAAAGATAAAATCTGGGATAAATTTTCATTATGAATTAACCGAATTCGGAAGAGCATTACTTGCTATTAGAGTCTAAGATACTTAGTTACATTCTTTACAATATAGTAAATGATGTTCAGTTTGATATATTTTTAATGATAAACAAATAAAGACTTTAAAAGTAGAGGATTCTCTTCAGCTACTAGTATTTAATCATTGATGAGTTCAAAGCATTGGAACCATAAAAGAAATCAGTTGCGATAATGCAAATACATTCACTCATTCATTATATCTACCATTAAACCTAAAATTTCAAAATATTTTCGATCTTCTATTCAACAAATTGATACTTTCTTGTCAAATCTTCACATCTAAACGTTTTTATTACTATTGATAATACAAATTCTGCTGCTCTCTTATACATTATGATAACTTCATCTTTTTATGGTGATATAATAGGAGAAGTGAGTCTGGATTCAAATGCATAGCTGATTATACACTGCCTAAAACTCACTGACTTGTGTCATCAAGTACACTGTTTTAAACGTTCCAAACTATAGTGCAATGACTATTAAGTACATATTAACTGTTTTTCATAAATGTACATTTATTTCCATTGAAATTCTTCTCAATTCAATTGCATATTTCTTTCTGGAATATCCTTAGAGAGTGTGATTAATCGTATGACATAATTCTGATTATTTCAACTAATATGTGTGTGCGTATGTCAATGCCAAACGTTCACGATTGTAAAACACTAAAAAAGATTACATTCTGATTTTGAAAAAAAATATCAATCTGTTTTTTTATTTAATGAAATAAATGAATAATATTTTAATTCATTTTCGTTTTATTAAAACAAATTTATTATCACGCGGGATAGTTGAATATTAATCGTTTCTTAAATTTTTTTGGATTGAAAGTTGTCACTTGCAATGACAATTTGTCATTTAGTTGGTAAAAATTCTTAAATATTCATTCTTAATCATTCTTAAATTGCCATGCTCATTTAAACAATGACATCAACTGAATAAACAATACTGAATTTCAATAAATTCTACAAATTTAAATACAAACGTTACGAAAAATAATAATCAAGTAGACAAATATATTTTTTAAAATTACTACATATAAATGCTCTGCATTACGGGGTTGTGAAGATTGTTAAGTTACACATTTTTGAAACCATGAATCGATCAATGTTAGACCACCATTAGAAACCTGGAAGCACTGAAAGACGGCCGTTTCGTCCAAGTATGGGACTCCTCAGAAGTGCGCATCCACGACTCCTGCACCCCGCAGGATTCGAACCAAGGACCCTCGGTATTGTAGGCGAACGCCTAACCATCGGATCACTGAGCCGGTATCCAGTGCTTCCAGGTTTCTAATGGTGGTCTAACATTGATCGATTCATGGTTTCAAAAATGTGTAACTTAACAATCTTCACAACCCCGTAATGCAAGTTACCTGTGCTCACAAGTGACTAGCTTCGGGAGGAATCTTCTCCGAGTTCTAGTGGGAAGACGTGACCAGTGAAGTTCAATCTGCTCGGGTTTGGACAGTAACTACCGATGACTGTGTATGAGGTTGTGCAACTCCGTGAATTTGATCAAGTTAGACATTAACACCGTTAGATACCGGTTCGGTGGTCCGATGGTTAGGCGTTCGCCTACAATGCTGAAGGTTCCGGGTTCGAATCCTGCGGGGTGCAGGAGTCGTGGGTGCGCACTGCTGAGGAGTCCCATACCAAGACGAAACGGCTGTCCAGTGCTTCCAGGTTTCTAATGGTGGTCTAACATTGATCGACTCATGGTTTCGAAAATATGAATGATCACCAACAGTATGTTTGGAACAAATTTTAACAGAATGGAGAAAACAGTTTTTAATATTTAAAAAAAAACAGTACAAATATCTTCATGCTGTAAGTGCTTATTAATTCATATAATCATGTGATCAGTAACTAGAACTAACCGGATGAAAAGTGTAATATCTTTGAATAGCGTAATTCATACCAAATTACCTTTATTAATGTTCTTTTTTTACATTGATACAACTATTGCACTAACTATTGAAGAAGTTTTTGTGAGTTTCTGTACATGTTTCTAATTATTATATAATGCTGAATTTCTGATAAGTTAGAATACATTTACTGAGAAGATCTTTGTTACTTTGTAGAAGGGTTAAAAATGAATATCATGTTTAGAGTAAACACTGTATAACTACTATCAAACAGTTACTGTTGTAGTGAAGGAGCAAACAGGTGAGGGCAACCGAATTGTATTTAACGGAAATTACAGAGTTACTCAGTAAAATAGGAAAACCATATCGTAACCGTTAATTTGCAAATCTTCAATCAATCATCAATCCATTGTCTGACATTTCACTATTCATGCGTTTAATACAAATTCCATTGTGTTCCCACTCTTCCTTTCTTGATCTTCCCCCATCTTCTGCTGCCAGACACTACGTTTTTACTCGCGTCATATACTACTTATATGTAGCGCGCACCACACTGTTTTTACATTTTAACTAACTTGTAATTTGCATTAAAGACTGACCTTGAATGAACTAGTGTGTGTCGTACAACTGTTTGATCCTGGAGTGAAACCCTTTTTTAGTAACGTAAACTCCTGACGACTCAAGAATCTTCATATAACGGGGTGAGTGCCAGTTAACATTTCTAACTCCAATCCATTTACTGTGCTGAGTTTCATCCAAAACATCACTTTCTATCTTGAAATACTATCTTACCGACATTTTGACTAGCTTTTCTATTAACTGGACAAATATACAAACAGTGGGTATTCGCTTATTTAGTTATAGGTTGAAACAAGTTTCTTAACAATTTTAGTTTATGCAACTCATTAATATCTTTATGCACCTTAGATTAATTTAAGTTAACAATTTCTATTGAGCCATTTTGAATGCATTTTTCTTATTTTACCTATAATACTGTGTAGAACTGCTGTATAAAATTATAAATAAGTTGATTACTGGTTCAGTGGACAGCTAGGACACAGCTGGACGAGCTGGACTTCACAGATTATCTGGCTCTTCTATCACACACGCAACAACAAATGTAAGAGAAGACAACCAGTGTAGCAGCAGTCTCTGCAGCATAATGGAAAAAGGGGAATTCTCCGATGCAACACAACATGCACCAACCAAATCAAGCTTGATGGACACACC